CTCACCTCACACTGGTGCCCCAACCCACAGTATTATTTCGTCTGGAGACATGATATGCTGTACTTTTCAGGTTTACATGGCGTTAAACGGGATTGTGGGCAAAAATCTCAAACAGGAATTTTACGAAAGTATCGACTGGGAACATTGGACATCTGTTGATGCAGCTTTCACAACAGACCAAGGTTGGTTCATGTTCATCATACACTAGCATTACATTGTTTTTCACAACCAATGTAATGACATCATGTCGCAGAAAGTGCTGCTGTATTGTTTTTGCAATACAATCAACAATGTAACTTGTGTTGTCATTTTACTCTATAAAAGACTAAAGAACCAACTCAAATTTTAAAACTGGTGCTCAGAAGGCTTACGATTCTTGGTGACAAACCCACAGACTTCTACAAAATATTCTTTGTAAGTGACTGCTTTGTTTGTTGGATTATTTCAAACTCATATTCATAACTCATATTGTTGAATTTTTGTCATTATTTGACAGTTCCTGTCTTTGCTACAACCTGTGAGCACATATTTTATTTGGAGTTTGAGGATTTTCTGACGATACCATCACCTCTCTTATCTCCCAACACTGCAGTACAATGAGGCTGGACACGTGTTCGTTTGTGGAGCTCAAACGGTTAAAAAAATGACACAAGGAAAACTTGCCTATCCAACTTTTTCAGGTGAGCTGTTTGTTTAATCTACTCCAGCAGTCATAACCAATTCATGCCTCCTCATTTTTGTCTGATTCTCCCATGACTACACTACATTGTCTAATGTTGATGATTATTAAATAAGAATGATTGTGCTCTTATGTTGCAAGGAGTCTGATGATTAAGCCTGTTTGTACTTGTCTGTCAGTTGACAAATGTGTTATTTCTGCAGTATATTTGAGTGTTAACTTGCATTGTTTTGTCAGCAATAAAATAAATTGAAATGCTCAGATTTTGTTTAATTTCTTACCTTTTCATTTTGTTGCAGTGGAATGTATTAAATACAAATTTTAAAATGAAAGTCATAGAATTAATTGACAAGAGAAAACATTACGTATATGAAAATGATAACTAATGATTTTAAGTAGTCATAGAAAATGTTATGTGATGTATCATGTATGTTTTCCAATGACGTGCGGTCAGCAGAGGCAGGTTGTATTTATCCGGTGATTTGTACTATAAAGTCAAATTTAATTTAGCCTCACCAATTTTGATTATTTTTTATTTAAAATTGCTGAATTTTCACAATTTCCCATTCAAATGCTTGGAAGTGAAGCGCGGTGAGGCAGCAGCGAGCTGAGCCTCACCTTGGATTGCACAATTACTTGCTCATAAAATGGTTGAGAAGAGGTTCTAGGTGAGGCAGGCAGTTCTCTTGCCTCATGGCAGGGGGTACTCGTGATCCCACACATTCTTCTTGTGACTTTGCGGCTGCAGAGCAGGTGACAGCAAGCTGGGTAAAATATACAATTAGCAAGTCAAGTGCAGCGATCCGTTAGTGTTTTTTTCTCTCTCGCCTTGCCTGATTTTCAACATGGAGGACTACATTTCCAAGCTTAAAGAATTTGTAAAATGGACTTTCACTCGAAGCAGGAGATAATAATTAAAGGAAGACCAACGCTGGAGCTGAAAAGGTTTGCTTCAGACTACGGGACAGAAGATTCCCCGCTCTTTTCAAACGGAGTGGTATACACTAAATGACTGGCTGTGTGGATGTCCAGCTAAAAACCACCTTTTCTACTTTCCCTGAATTCTTTTCTCAACCTGTGACAATATCTGGTCTCAGGTAGGATTTTGTGACTTGAAGAATTTTCAAAGAAGCCTTATAAAACATGAGCGGTCAACCACTCACATTCGAAGCCAGACTGCACTAAAAACATCCAGGATAGACTTGACTTTGGATGAACAGCGGCGACTCAACATCAATGTCCACAATGCAAGGGTAAAGGAGAACCAAGAGATTTCTCACCAAACAGCAGCTGGCATTTCTTGGAAATGACGACAGTATCGACTCTACTAATCGTGGCAAGTATGTTGAACTTTCACATACTTTTGCTGAGAAAGATGACAGGCTCGCGAGACATTTGGAGCCATCCACTGTATTTTCTGGCTTGTAAAATAGAATACAAATGATTGAATTGAAGCAGTCGGCGATGTCGTTAGAAATTATATTAAAAAGGCGATCAGTGTAGCCCTATTTGTTGCTGTTGAAGTAGACGAGAGCACAGGTGTCACAAACAGAGCTTAGATCTCTGTCATATTGCGCTATGTGACTAAAACTGAAGCAAAGTGTGAGGTGAATGAGACGTTTTTGGGCTTCAATGATGTAAGTGCGGACAGACGAGTCCCTGCCATTGCTGAGTATGTCCTGAGAGTGTTGGAGAAGTATGGCTGTGTTGATAAGCTTGAAGCTCAGACTTATGATGGGGCTGCTGTAATGGCATCAGAGCTCAGTGGGGTGCAGGCTAAAATTAAAGAAAAAGTGCCTGAGGCTGTGTTTACCCACTGTTGCGCACACAAGCTGAACCTGGTGCTATTTCATTCAGCAAAGTGTCGCACGTTTTTTAAAACAGCTGAAGGAATAGGGACATTTTTCAGCAAGTTCACAAAGCGCACTCACTTATTGGATGATTTGTCAAGCGGCGTTTAGCCAGAGCAGCGCCTACAAGATGGTCCTCTAACTCGAGGCTGCAGCAGACAATAAGCATGCACCAAAATGATCTGCGTGCCATATTTCGTATCATTATGGAACATCCTGACAGCTGGGATAATGACATGCTGGTGATGGCAGCAGGATGTCAAAAGCCTGTGGTTGTCAAAGCATCGACATGCTTTCTCATAACTGCATATGAGGGCGTTTTCAATGAAACCAACGCACTTTTTAGAATGCTGCAGAACAAGGTGATTGGCATTGGGTACTGTCTTGCATGCGTGATACCATTGCAGTTATTGAGCGCATGAGACTGGAGTTTGACAGTTTCTACGACCGATTTGAGTAGAAATGCGGTGCACTGACAGAGTGTGGAAACAGACAATTGGCTAGAGATGAACGGAGACAAGTGTTCTGTAACATTCTGGACGACGTCAGTGATCAAATGAAGGCCAGGTTTCGATGAGCTTGTTTTCCTTGGTTTGGTGGATTACGCAAAATTCTGTGAAATGTCACAACATTTTGATGACACGAAACTGCAGAGCCTGTCAAAATATGCCCAGTTCTTTGATGTTGTCAGACTAAAGGCCAATCTCATTGGAATGTATAGCTCACAAATGGTGAGGGATGAATGTAAATCTCCTGGACAGCTTCTCAGCTTTTTGGCCAAGAAGGATCTTACTCTAACTGTTCCTGAGGCGACAGAGTTGCTCCAGCCAATGCTCACTGTGCCAGCTACTACAGCGTTGGTGGAGCGGTCATTCTCAGCTCTGAAAAGACCCAAAACATCCAGCCAGAACAGGACTGATCAAGGCCAGTTTTCTTCCCTGGAAGTGATCTTCATTGGGACAGAGAAACTTTTTAAACTGAAAGAAGATAAGGAAGACATTTACCAGAAAGTAACAGATGTTTTTGTCCAGTAGGAGTGGCACATGGACTTCATTTAAAGGTTGAGGTCAGACCACAATAACGGGCTACAGTTTGTGTGCGTAAAGAGTGCAGATATGAAATATAACCCGTAAACTGCTGCCAATCAAATGGGAAATAAGCTACTCTGTAGAATGAAATATTTGTAAATCTGATTCTGATGAAGTCAGTACCTCACCAGCCATGAACCTCACCGCACGTCTCTGATGTTTTTAATATACTTAACCTAAAATAATTAATTTTACAGAACGTAGTTCTAGTTTTTGTGAACTGATGATTTCAAAAAAGGACTACTAAACTTGTTTTGTCTCCAGCATGCATTTAAGGTTTTATGTTAAGACAACTTGAGATGTTTAGTTTCTACTTGTGTCAAAACCCAAATGGTTTAAGGCAATCGGTTTCTACACAGTTGTCTAGTAATGTCAACAAATTTAGATGTACGGTGTGGCAAAGAGTGATTGTGTGAACCATAGTTTTACAGAGAGGAGTGCTAATTGGTGGCAGGTGAGCAAGGTGGTCACTTGCTGCTGAGTAAATGATCTGCACTCATATAGCACTTTTCTACCTTAGTGGTACTCAAAGTGCTTTACATTGTGTGTCTCATTCATCATTCACACACACACACACACACATTTATACACCAATGGTGACAGAGCTGCCATGCAAGGTGCTGCAGGTTCAGTGCCCAGGTTGGGGGATGGAACCGCCAACCTTGCGGTTACAGGACAACTTGCTCTACCACCAGAGCTGCCCTGATTTGACAGCAGCTCAGTCAAATACACACAGACAGAAGGAGAGAGGGAAAGGAGGAGGAGAGGCTGTCAGCAAAACAGGCAGAGGCAGGGATCATGACACTGAGTAGTTTCCCAGCATCCTCCTCTCTGACACCTCCACCAAATACGTCAGCTCCACTCTTGGGACATATCCAGCTTTCCTGATCAGCTTGTTGGGTCTGTTACCATCACCCTGCTGCCCCAGCACACTAAAGATGATGCTGGCCAACCCCGAGTAACAAAAAATCTGCGTCATGGTTCTGCAGACGTTGAAAGATCTCAGTCTCCTGAGAAAAAAAGCATTCAGCTCTGACCTTTCTTGTACAGAGCCTCTGTGTTTTTATTGTGTGTGTGGACACTGAGGTACTTGAAATCTTTGACAATGTCCACCTCTGTTCCCCTAAGAAACTAATATTTGGTTCTGAGTGGTCCTGTTCCTCCTGAAATCAACCACCAACTCCTCAGTTTTCATGATTAAAAAAAGTTCACAAAATTTACTTGGAAGTAACTAAGATGAGATTTGTAGCCCATGATACCAACGGGCCACCAACTCAACAGTACATATGTATGTGTGATTATGATCTGACTCTAATTGTATTACCAAGTACTTCAGCAGGATACTGACTCACTGAAATTCTGTGTGTGTGTGTGTGTTGTCAGTGTTCAGAGAGTCAGTCCCAGGCGGCAGTGTTCCTGCCAGAGTTTGCCCTCTCACCTCAGGGCAGCTTCATGGAGGATGCCACAGAGGATCAGTTTCTAACCTACAGATACGACGACCAGGTCAGTCATGCATTTTTTTTTCTTTTTTCTGTTGCTGGACCACTATAAGTTTGCAAAAATTGATGCTAACATTTAGAACTGACCCGAAGCTGATGCTGATAATAGCTTCTACAAAACTAAACGATCCCATGGGTTGTTCATGTAAGCAGCTCGCTTATGTTTTATTGTGACAGCGCCCTCTGGTCACTGTAGATTATGACAGGAGTCCAGAAGGGAGTGAGATGACTTGCTTGTAGAACCACAGCGTCTGTGTTGGAAAGAGGTTGGAGTGGATGGATGGGATTAACAAAAAATGGAACCTTGAAACAGAGGACTGCTACCCATTTTGAATCAAACTTCTGTTTCTTTTTAATATGACTATTCCATAACCTTGACTGCTCTTTATTATCACATCCTCTGTTTCAAATCAAATTCTTATCGTTCCTAAAAATAACCAAGATGTTTTTGGCTTAAACTTTAAGGTTAGAAATATCTGCACTACAATACAGCCCACTGGTTAGAGACCAGCCACCTTTAGGTCATTAGGGTTGCTTGTTGATTGTCACAGAAAACAAAGGTCTAAAGGGGAACAGTAGAATTGGACTAAGATACATAGAATTGTGATAGGTGACACAGAAACTGAAATTCTAGTTATAGAATGTATTGGTGGGGATGAATTTACTTAATCCAGTGAATGAAATCATTGAAAGATAGTGATTCAATGAAACCTCTCATCCCGCTGTTCTCTTGCCTGTGCTGAATCAGATGCACATGTTACTCCTGTTCAGTTTCTAACAGAGTAACAGCAAGGAGTACTCTGTCCTGGCCAGAAGAGATTTCCTCAACATTGAGAGTCATTGCAAGAGAAATGATAAATTTGATTTTTCTGATTGATTTTTCACCAAAGCCCAGCTATGTCACATCAACATTTGTTTTTTTTCAGTTTTCTCAGTCATTTCCTTAGATATCATGTTGCATGTTATGTTATTGTTCAGCTTTTATAAAGCCAAGAAAATTTGAGTAACTCAATAAATGAAATGCCATGATTGCAACTGTAGTGGTTCTGCGAACTAAACTCAAAGAGGCTCTGTGGTGCCGCCTTCATGCTGTCAAAGTCTGTGCTGACCTGCTCTGCAATGTGCTGCCAAAAGTTCTTGTTTGCTTTATAAACGGTAGTGGTCTTGTTAGTTTATATTGTAATATATTTTAATGTGCTGCTCTGCGACTGTGAGCATTTATGTAATCTTTAAGGTGTACTGATGTGATCTGTGCTTGATGTGTTTTTTGGCTTGTATACATCACATTAGCGCTTCAGATACAAGTTGCCTTTATGTTAATGTTTGAAAAAAGAACCCTGCTTTACCGAGGATTTTTTTTTTTGAGGAAAAAACATGAATTTGTTAAATTTGGCTGATTTCATGCGCTGCCTTGTGTTATTGCTGTGTAAGCACCTGTCAGTCAGTTAGGGAGTGATAACAGGTTTCAAACTTGTGTTTAGAATTTTGATGGTCAGGAAGTGCTTCACATCTGTATTATGAATTGTCCTGTTGAGGTGTTAAAAGAACATTTAGATTGTGTTTTTGACAAGTGCAAAACACAAATATGGAATGTATGTATACTTCTTTATGTATGTTCACAAATATGCACATACAAATGCTGCATGGACACACAATTGAAGCCTCATGTAGTGTGTTTAATGTTTGTGTGAGTAGCAGATGTTGTCCCTTAGAGTAGATTAGAAGCTACAGGCTAAACAACAGCCTGAGGATTGTAGGCTTTCTGATCTACTTCTTCACTAAGGTATGGGCTGTTTGAGCTGAATTTGCAAACTGATGCACGTCCCAGTTGTTGCTTCTTTGGTAGCGGATGAAAAGTGTCAGCAGTGCTGCTTCCTGTATTTTTTTCACTAGGATGGTTAATCATGCTCTGCCAATCTTGGTGAATCTGCCAGTCTTGGTGTTCTCTGTCAAATGCCAATCGCCCTGCATGATGTTGGGCTGTAAACACAAGCCCCCACTGGTGGATGTCAGGCTTTTCTTTTTCTTTTTTTTTTTCTGGTGGTGGGCAAATGGAAAATAATGCTTGATATATAGATGCAGCTTCTGATTCTCTATCAAAGGTTATTAACAGTCCTAGTTCTGCTGACAGTGTAGTTTCCTGCTATAAACTCTGGGTCTGCTGACAAGTGGAAAATAGATCAGAGGTCAGTAACTTCACAACAGTGCATCACATTTTTCTCCAACTTTTTATAAACGGGTATAAGAGGAAGGTCTCATATGCTTCTTGTATTAACCTGTGATCCTATCTGGGGGCATAAAAATATGTTGAGCAAGATTTGAATGCATGCAGAATCAATTTCCAATCTTAATTGAAACTCCCCAGCTTAACCATGTTTGGAGGTGGTCTGGCTTAATTAAATCTCTGTTATGTATACACCTAATTCTGTCTCTTCCTGCTCAGAAGCTACAGCTGAGTGCATCCTTATATCCAGAACTACTGCGAGCAAGCTGCCCTGGCCCCAGACCTTTGTAATGTAGATACCAGGCACTGCAATACCTTTGTTTCAATGCATTTTGTGCTTGCACAGTGTATATGCTTTCAATAAATCTGAATGTAATCATATTATCACAAGTGAATTTAGCTTGTAATAATAGTCGAGCTATATGAGCACTGATACGCAGAGATACAAACTATGTAAGTCACTTAACGTGTTACCAAATCTTAGCTTTAAACATTGTCGTATACCCAGGAGTGTATTATGTATTCCCCTGACCTGACAACCATAAAACTTGTCAGACAAGTCTGCACATATGCCTCGCTAATCTGTAAAACCATTCAATCCCTAATTGCAATTAAAATGTTTCTTAATTCTAGGTGGATGCAGAGGTCTGTGAGACCTTGCATATACAATACATATACAGTGTTTTTTATTTTTTATTTTTTTTAAATTTTTTTCAGTGTTTAAAAAAAACAAAACAGAACAACCTCATGAATTCCTGTTAAATACTTGGTTAACCCCCTGAGGTAAAGAAATGCAATATCACAGTCGTGACAATCAGAATGTCATTCAGAATAAACCAAGGCATCGATGAACACTGGCTCACCACACTGTTCATGTCTGCTGTGTGTGTATGTGTTAATTTGCATTGCTGGAAATGTAATGGGAATGTTCCTGGATATCTTTATCATCTGCTTCTACCAAGCCACCCTCAGATCTGATTAATATTTAAACCAGAGACAGTTACAACATGAAAACCAGTGAAATTACATTCTGTGTATTTGCTATCCCAGCAAGAGAGAGGGAGTTGACTCAGAACTGACTCTGTCTAAGCTTACTGTTTTATTTTAGGTGTGATTGGGCCTAGGTTATATAAATTCAACATCAAGGCACAGTGTGTGAGTAACGGTGTTGAAAAGCTCCAAAATGTTGACATGTCAGGCTTTCAAAGCTCTGACGCCAGTTCCTGGTTATTGTCTGACAGAGGTTTGAGCCACAAATAGAGAACGTGACGCAGGTAGAAGACATGACAGCAGGGCAGCTAGCAACAACAGCTTTATCTGAGGCTATATTTCTGTCTCTCTCTCTCTCTGGTTCTGACTTAACCAAGGCTGTTTTCTTCTTTGCATGTTTTATATTCTCTGCACTAGTCTTTCCTGCCTTTGAGTCTTTTAACACTGTCTCCTGTCTATCGGAGCCGAGGAAAAAGTCTTAGACTAAAAGCCGCACTTTATCTTGCAGCCTTGATACGATACTTGGACGACAAGGATAAGAACAACAAGTCGGTTACAGGACTAGTGTTCAGTCATTATCTTTACCAGCATTGGAGGGGTGTGAGATACTCAGTGAGTAATGCTTGTATTATTTTCCTCAGGTCTTGCTAGAATACAGGAGGGCTTCTGCAGAGTCATAAATACATGCCTCTGGATCAGCTGCATTTCAATCGAGGCGTTCACTTCTATCCTGTCTATGTGAAAAGGATTTTAAAATGTAATACAAGAAGATGGATGCAAGCAAGCTTAAGATCAATAGCAGCCATATATAAAGAGAAACGGCAGAAATGTGGCCTGTGCATGCTTGATATTAACACAGCTACCACAGTCTTCTCTTTCTATATTAGGTTTTAACTTCACAATCTGAATTAATCAAAGATTAATTTCAGCTGTAATTAAAATAATTGTAGCCAAGAAAGAATTATTACATATTCTTTATCGTCACGCCCTCATGTTTTGTTACAGTTGTGTTATTTCATGTTTTGGCTACTTTGGGGCAGTAGAACAAGTTGTACACTCAGTACTGGCATATATGTGTAAAGTTTCACTCACCGAAGTCCAGGAAATGGTACAAGCTTCAGTAGAAAGCAACTGGACATGAAGAACCAAAAAGTTGTAATCTCCTGAAGCACTCAGGATAATAGTGATACATTTTCACCTTCTAAAGATGTTGCAAGCTTATTTGTTACCCAATAATTCCTTAATTAGATATCCAGCATTTGAGGTTGTGTTTATGTCCACCTGATGAATGTAAGTGCAATAATAAGTCTCCTTTACGTTTTTTTAATGCCTAAGAGCCTGCTAAATTTTTCACTCTGTTCACATTTTAGTCTCTAATAATTAAAGAATGAAAACTTGTGTCTCCACTTGAGCCACTGTGTCAAAAAACACCAGATTTTTTTTCAGTGCACACACACAACAGACAGCTAGCAGGCTAAGATGTTATAGTATTTTTACTTTAAAAAAATGAATCACACTTTTACACTAAAAAAAAAACAAGTGTCTGTGAGCTTCCATTTTGAGGTGTCTCCACAGATGTTGTGTTGAGTTGTTTAGGTCTAGGCCTTGGTCGGCCCACTTAAGTACAGCCAGAGACTTGTCTGAACCCACTCCAGTGTTGAGGTTCATTTTTCTACGTTTTTGTGATAATATCATTTGTTAGCATTATTCCTGCTTGACGTTCAGGTGAAATGTTTTAAGTGAACTCAGTGTCTGACATTTTGATCCATTGATGTTTTAGTATTGACAAT